TCGATTTCCATCTCAACGGCCCTGAGAATTTCGCCCAAAAAAGTTGGAATTTCGACCGTCAGATCGAGTTTTTCTTCAACGGCCGAGATCGGACGCGAATTTTGACTAGGCGAGATTTGCGCGAACTACCGAATTCATATTCGTCGATTCTACAGTCGATCTGACTCGCAGTAAGTCGACCAGCATCCAAAATTTAATTATTTTCGTCGCGCTTCTTTTGGTAAATCACCAAATAGAGGGAAATAGAGATAATTTTGTACGAAAAATCGCAGAGTTACGGCTAAGCATAAGCAGATATTTGCGGCGCTCCCACGTCTCGAAAAACTCCTTGCAAATCAATCGGTAGCCGCAGCAGCAGCAGAATCGACGACGGCAACACCGATAATTGTACCTGCGACTAGGGTTTTGCAAAAACACGTTCGAGGCGAACCGAACAGGTTTGTTTTTTTTGCTTAACAGTGTTCGGTTCGGCAAACAAATGTGTTCGAGTAGGGGCGAACACGAACGTTCGTGTTCGCCCCTTGCTCATCCCTACCTGCGACAACGGCAGCAGCTACATTTAATCTCGAAGCAGGAAAGCCGAGGCGACCAGACGTGTTTGATCCTAGAGCGAAAGGGAGCGACGTCCGTCGATTTGTAGCTGTACTAGAAAATTTCTTCTAAGTCGTTGGCTGCACGACCCTCAACCAAGACGCATTGCGCATACGGCTCGCAGCAACACTGTTACGAGGCCCAGCTCTAGAGTGGATTAGCAATAGATTTGTCCAAGGCGAAGAGACGTGGGCGCAGTTTCGGGCAGCACTGATCGAACAGTTCGACGCGTTGAACAGTAGCTACTACGGAACACGACGCAACAAGCCAAATAGTGGCATGGAACGATTGGCATCGTTCGGACTCTGCAACGCACCGGCGACGTTCCAGGCGGAGATGAACCACATCCTACGGCCCCTGCTGGACGAGTGCGTGGTAGTGTACCTGGACGACATACTGATCTACTCCAAAACCATGAAGGAGCACGTGGAGCATCTGCGGAAAGTCTTCGAGATCCTGCGGGAGAATAAGTTCTACGTGAAGCTGTCGAAGAGCGACTTTGCCCTGAAGAAGGTGCATGGTGAGTGCGGAGTGTGTACACGTGGACCCGCGGAAGATCGAAGCCGTCAAGAAGTGGAAAGTTCCTGAGAACGTGAAGGAGTTGCAGCAGTTCCTAGGCTTTGCCAACTACTACAACAGGTTCGTGCCGCAGTACGCTAAGATAGCAGCGCCACTGACCGACCTACTGAAAAAGGATACGCCCTTCAAATGGGATACTCCTCATCAGCAAGCCATGGAACAGCTACAGACAGCACTGACCACAGCGCCAGTACTCATCCTACCGGATCCAGACAAGGACTACGTGGTGGAAGCAGATGCTAGTGACCAGGCAGTCGGAGCAGTATTGATGCAGGATCACGGACGCGGTTTGCAGCCCATCGCCTATCTCAGTAAGAAGCTACACGGAGCAGAACTGAATTACCCCATCCATGACAAGGAAGCCTTAGCGATAGTCACAGCCTTCAAGGCGTGGAGGTGTTACTTAGAGGGAGCCAAAATGATAGTTTACACTGACCACTGCAGCCTCGAATACCTGAAGTCACAGCCGATACTCTCACGACGACAGGTACGGTGGGTGGATTGACTTCCTCGAAACCCACTTCCATTACGACATCGTCTACAAACCCGGGCTACACAACAAAGCAGACGCGTTGAGCCGCCCCGGACATGTAGCAGGCATCCAGCTCGATGGGATGAACCCTCTACTCAAGGGTCTATTCCAACATGGGTACTTCGTGGACGCATAGATCACTACAGCACAGAAACAGAAGCTGTTACAGTGGGAGAATGACTTAGCTGTAAGAAAGGGATCGGGAAAGATTTGGGTACCGAACTATGCCCCGCTCCGACAGATCTTACTGGAGGAGTTCCACGATGTGGCATATGCGGGACATTTCGGGAGCAACAAGACATTAGCGGGAATAGCGAAGTATTACTACTGGCCCCGGATGGCAGCAGACGTGCAGCAGTTCATCACCTCATGCGACACGTGCCAGCGGATGAAGAGTAGCAAGCAGAAAAAAGCAGGGTTACTTCAGCCTCTACCCGTACCGGAGCAGCCATGGCAAGTCGTTAGCCTAGACTTCATTACTGGGCTTCCTTCGACCTCACGAGGGCATAACGTTATACTCGTGGTGATCGAGAACTTCTCTAAAATGGGACACTTCATCCCGACCAACGCCACGGCTACAGCTGAAGCAACTGCTCGCCTCTTCTTCGACCGCATCATCACCGGCATCCCCGCTACACTCATCTCAGACAGAGACCCAAAATTCACTAGTAAGTTCTGGAGGGAACTCATGGGATTGTTGGGGACTAAGCTTGCGATGTCTTCAGCGTACCACCCCCAGACTGACGGACAGACAGAGCGACTCAATCAGGTGGTTGAACAGTTACTGCGCACAGCTTGCAAAGACGACATCAGCCAATAGGATTTACAGTTACCGACGCTTGAGTTCGCTTACAACAACGCTTCACATGCGGCCACAGGGAAATCTCCATTCTTCCTGTGCTATGGACGGGAACCACTTACACCACAGCAGCCAACCACACCGGCACACGTCCAAGCCGCACACGACTTCGTCACCACCATGTAGAAGCTATGGGAGAAGACTCAGCGACGTCTCACCACGATGCAGAACTTCCAGAAGCAGTATGCCGATCGACAGCGACGAGATCACTCAGTAGCAGTCGGAGATCAGGTGCTTCTCGACACACGCAACTTGGACTTGTCTCACATTCCGTCCAAGCTCCGGCCTCGCTTCTATGGTCCCTTTCGCGTTGAGGCAATGATGACACCAGTTACATTCCGCTTGCGCTTACCTACTACATGGAAGCTTCACAACGCTTTCCATGTTCAGCTGCTGAAGCCCTACAAGGACCCAAACCAGCAGACGATAGCTACCGCCACCACCACCTGTTCTCGTACAGGATGAACCAAAGTATGAGGTGGAACGACGCTCATCGACGCAGACGCGGCAACACGCTCGAGTTCCTGATACGCTGGAAGGGATACGATCCGTCGGAGGACAGTTGGGTTGTAGAAGCTGATATGGGCAAAGAACGCCGTGCTCTCAAGGATTATCTTGTCAAGTATTGGATTGTAACCTTTAGGGATCCGAAGGACCGCTTAGCGGTGCGTTTAGCACGAAGAAAAAAAACACGGTGTGAGCAAGCTTTGCTTGCGCAGTAACATGCCCCCGTTGCTTGTAGGGAAGCTACAAGAAAAGACAGCTTGCAAAGCAAGCGGCACGCCTACCCGCAACAACGGAGCATTTGGCACCGCATCATAATGCATGCAAGCGAAACATTCGCGAAGCTTGCGAAAGATGCGGAGCATTTACTCAATCTAAAAACACAAGTACAATATGAAATACGAATGGAATCGAATTGCTTATTGTGACGCTGCAGAACCTTGGCAATTGGGATTTCAAGATGCGGCTACTCCAATGATGCAAGGAATTATTGATTTACATCATGACATTATCTCACGCCACCCAGTTTTGAGGGGGGGACGTGTGAGAGTACGATAGCTTTCCTAGGATTTACTAGCTTGATTCTGCTTTATTATGCATTATCTAGCTTAGCTTTGCTTTATTTTGCTTGCTTTTGCTAGATTTCCTAGGTTCGTTGCTTTTACTATATTTATTATAGTTATAGGCACCGAACTAGGTTGAGTGCACTGAATTCTAGGCTTTTCGGTTGCCACCAAATTGCCTTCTACCGAATTCGGGAAGGACCCGTTCGGGACGCTTCGCGACCCGCAGAACCTTCTAGTAACACCAGGGTTACTGCCTTTGTGTCGAGCCTATATATAGCCTCGCCTTGTACCCAGGTGCATTATTCAATAGTTCAATCTTTCCTGAACCAGATCCTCACAGATAGCAACAACGTTGGCAACACAGACTACATCAGAGCTAGCCAGGCTGCGGTCGACCTCCAGCGCAGCACGGTCGACCACGTTCCAGCGCAGCAATGCTCGCACCGCTCCAGCGCTGCAGGGATGCGGCGCGGCAATGTTGCAAGTCCGCGGCGTGCCAACGCTGCAGCAAGTCGGCTGCACAGCGTCGCACCCACAGGACAACGGTGCACCTGCTTCGCAGGTGTGCGCAGCTGATTGGCATCCAACGCCCCGTCACGTGCCCAGCGCAGATATTCCGCCCGTGACGGCGTCCACCAGCCACGTCGACCTCGGGGTACCACCCGCGAGGTCGTCCTCGCAGAAACTTCCCCCGGCGACCTTCGCACACGTCGCCCGGGTATCCCGGTCGACCGGGCAACCCCGCCTGGTCGACCAACTTGGTCGGTCGCCGGCTGCGCAAGCCCGGCATCCCCAATGGTCGGCGCCCTGATATCTGACGCCTGGCTGCTCGGCGTCCTGCTTCTCGACGCCTTCCAGCCCAGAGTCCCTAGACTCCCTTGTCGAGGTCGACGTCGGCCCCTCCTTCGTCGACCACCAGACCCGGTCGACCACCAAGTCGACTGCGCTCCTGGTCGACCAACACCACCGACCAACAACCCTGTCAGCCGCCACCCATGTCGGCTGCCCGAAGTCGGCGTCGCCCAAGTCGACGCCCCACTGTGGGTCGACTTCCCAGGTCGACCACCCGAAGTTGGCGCCCTCCCGAAGTCGGCGCCCTTGCAGTGGCCCCCGTACAGGTCGACCAATCCCATCGACCAGCTCGCCCACTGCTACAGGCCGGCTGCACCCCTCACACCCGACCACGAAGTCGGCTCCGCCCAAGCGAGGACGGGGCCACACAACAACTCCCGTTGACACTCCCCTGCCGCGTTCACGCTTGGGCCCCCAGCCCACACGGCAGTACAACTCGAAGAATCGCTCGTCGGCGTGCACCCAACACACAGCACGCCGGTCATCACAGCACCAACCATGCAAGAGGGCATGGCACCTACTGCTGCACGTCGTTGTCGCCGTCGCCCACCTCAGAAAGGCGCACCTGGCCGACTGCGAGAGAGCACCGGTTGAAGGCCGGGTAGTGCAGCGCCTTCGTCAGAAAGTCGGCCGGCTGCTCAGCGGTCGGGATGTACTGCAGCGCAAACTTCCCCCGCTTCACCATGTGTTGCAGCCAGGCCTGTCGCCGCTCCATGTGCTTGAGGTTGCCCGTCAACCCCATGCCCTCGGCGACTGTGATGGCCGACTTGTTGTCCACCCGAAGGACGGTCGGTTTCCCAGCATCCAGCCGCTGGAACTCTGCGAGTCCCTCCTTGCCAGCTTCGACGGCCGCCACGTACTCCGACTCGGTCGACGACAGTGTCGCGCACTTGATGCGCTGGCTCGACCAGGAGACCGCGGCCCCTCCGTAGACGAACACATAGCCGCCCGTGCTCGTCCTGCTCTGCTTGTCACCGGCATCGTCGGCATCCACGTAGCCGACCAGCTCCAGCGACTCAGGTCCACCGCCGAACTCCAGGGCGGTGTCACGCGTGTTGGCGAGGTAGGCGAGGCAGCGGTTGACCTCGCGCCAGTGCTGGTCGCTCCTCACCGTGAGGCTGCTGCCCAGCATGCTGCTGGCGAAGGCGATGTCCAGCCTCGTCGTCGTCGCCGCGAACTGCAGCGAGCCGACCTTCTGTCGGTACTCCTCCTCCTGTTGCTCCTGTACCTCCTCGTCGTCAAAGGTGAGCTCGGCGTAGGCGGCGACTGAGACCGGCGTCTTTGGGGTCCGACCGCCCTGCTCCTCGTCGATGAAACGCCTACGCAGCTTGCCGACGTAGCCCTGTTGGTGCAGCCACAGCTTCCTCGCCGACCTGTCACGCACGATCTCCAGCCCGAGGTACTTCTGCACCGGCGAGATCTCGTGCAGCTCGAAGGCGGCCTCCAGCAGCTCCTTTAGCTCCTTCAGCATTGCGGTGCTGCTGCTGGCGGCGAGCAGGTCGTCCACGTAGACCAGCACCCACCAGGCCACTCCGTCGCCTTTAGCCGACTTTGAAGTACAGAGCCTCGTCGACCTGGCTCTTCTTCCAGCCAGCGCCGACCAGCACGTCGTTGAGTGCCAAGTACCACAGCAGCGGTGACTGCTTCAGCCCGTAGAGGCTCTTCAGCAGCTTGCACACCCGGCCGATCCCGTCGTTGTATTAGTCCGGCTGGTATATGTACGGCACCCGGTCGAGCTTCTTCATGTCGAGCTGCATCAGGTTCAGGTCGAGGACGGCGACGATGCTGAGGAAGATCCTCAGCGTGACGTAGCTGCTCACCGGCGCGTACGTCTCGTCGTAGTTGGTGCCATACACCTGGGTGAAGCCCTTCACGACCAGCCTCACCTTCTCGCGCTCGACGGTGTCGTCGATGTGGTACTTCGTCGTCAGCACCCACCGATTCTTCATGATGTTCACTCCCGGCGGGCGTTCGACCAGCTCCCAAGTGCCGTTGCTAATAAGGCTGCGGATTTCCTCCTCCATGGCGGCCTTCATGTTGGTGTAAGGGCCTAGTAAACTCAAGCTATTGTGAATTAATCAAACTTAAAACCTCTCCTCGGGGTCACCTCCAAGGGTCCCTGGGTGCCTGGCACAAGACCAGCCCCTATCCTCGGGTCCGAGTTTGTAGAGAGAGGAGTCAAGAAAGACTTAGCCAAAATAACAAGAGTACCTTGAACGTCGCGCAGCGTGCCGTGCAGACCGTCGATCGGATTAAGCTGAGAATTTGCTATATCGAAGCTCTCTCCAAGAGCTCTAAAATAAGCCAAGTTGCCTTGCGAAAAGTTCTGCCATTACGAAGTTATGGCTCGGACAGCGTTTGCCTAGCATTGGAGTGCTAGCATACTAGCATTGACTCGGGTAGCATTCCGCCGTCGAACCGCGTAGAAACGAAATTCCAGCGAGGAAGGAATTTGCATGAATCAATTGACTATATTTAGGTACAAACAGAGAAGGATTAAATAGTTCTAACTAGCAAGGACCTTGGGAATCAACCTGGGAACAACCAGGGATGATCCCAAATAATTTCAAGCAACAGAACCAACCTGGCTGGACAAAACAGCAGGTGGTAGGTTGGAAAACAACCTCTGGTTCTGTTTTTCCAACCTGGAAAAACAACAACCAGGTTCAGGTTCTAAAAACAGAACCTGTTTTGTCTTTGCCCAACCAGCCAAATGCTGGTTCTGCTGGTTTCCCCTGGCCTTGTAGCATGCAGATACAGACAAACAACATCCAACCTTCACCTAAATTGTACCCCTATAGTGCCTGCCTTGCTACACTATAGTCAACCAAACATAACAGTACAATTCCGAGTTGGATAGAACTAAATATGCGCAATCAACTCATCCGAACTGCAAAGCTTCCATCTTGGGTTCCTTTGCGAGCTCGTCCTTTCTGCTTGCACTGTTCATAGCACGTACAATGTTGTGCCGAAGCGCACATTGCGCGAGTACCTGCAAATGCTTCAAGCGAAAATTGCGAAAGCAAACAAACATACAAACACACCATGCATACGCAAATGCACTCGCACACGCATACTCGTACAAACAGACGGCAGGATGTCGTGCAAAGTGAATTTGCACCCAACACTTCACCGGCGGGCCCTTCCAGCTTGCCAACACCTCCTTCACTGTCATAGTCGAGATGTCCCAGCGGTGCTCGGGGTCGGCCAGCATGTCGGGGTCGAGCTCCGGAAACTCTTCATCCTCGTCGGCGTCGTCGTACAGCAGGTCGTCGTCGTCCTCCATGTCGTACACCGTGATGAAGGCAGCGGGGACGAAAAAGTCGGGCGGCCTCCGAAGCCGACCAGACTTCCAAGGTGCAGGTAGAACCGCCACCGCGTCATGGTCGGCGGACTTCTCGTCGGCCAACTGCTCCTCTTCATCTTCACTGGCTTTGCCATCCTCCGCCTTCTCGTCCTGCTGCACCTCGGTCGGCGTCCCGACCGATTTCTCCCCTGCGGTCAGCTCCCCTGCCGACTGCCAGGTCGCCGACTGCTCCTTGGTCGGCCTTGTTGCTGCCTGCTCCCCTGTCGGCTCAGCCTGTTGCTTCCCCGGCTGCCCTTCTGTTGACTTCTCTTCCAGGCCGACTTGCTGGGCGTCACGTCGGCCACCGGCGATGCTCTTGGTCGGCGCCACAGGCGACGTCCCACAGCTCCCCTCATCGCCGGAGGCCGACACCGGAGTCAGCCCACGCAGGTCGGCGACGAGGGGAGGAGAAAGGACGACCTCATCGTCCTCAGCAGCAGGCTCACCGACCCCGGCGAGCAAAGGCAGCGCCGCCGTCGAGCAGTCGGTGGGGTGGTCGGCGTCCGTCCTGACACCGGCCCGTGCGCCGACTTCCACTCCTCCAGCGACATGTCCTCGTAGAAAACCACGTTCGACGTGGTGACCACCCGGTTATCTGCAATGTCGAGGAGCTCCCAGCCCTTGCTCGCCTCCGACACGCCGAGGTGAAGGCCCCACTTGGCCTTCGGCTTCAGCTTCCCACCACGGGAACGAAGAACTGCGCCATGCAGCCCCACACGCGCGCCAGCGACAAGTCGTGCTTCGTCCCGGTCAACATCTGGTACGGCGTCGTGTTGGTGTAAGGGCCTAATAAACTCAAGCTATTAGGACTTAATCAAACTTAAAACCTCTCCTCGGGGTCACCTCCAAGGGTCCCTGGGTGCCTGGTACAAGACCAGCCCCTATCCTCGGGTCCGAGTTTGTAGAGAGAGGGATCAAGAAGGACTTAGTCAAAACAGCAAGAGTACCTTGAACGTCGCGCAGCGTGCCGTGCAGACCGTCGATCGGATTAAGCTGAGAATTCGCTATATCGAAGCTCGCTCCAAGAGCTTTAAAATGAGCCAAGTTGCCTCGCGAAAAGTTCTGCCATTACTAAGTTATGGCTCGGACAGCGTTTGCCTAGCGTTGGAGTGCTAGCATACTAGCGTTGACTCGGGTAGCATTCCGCCGTCGAATAGCGCAGAAACGAAATTCCAGCGAGGAAGGAATTCGCTTGAATCAATTTGACTATATTCAGGTACAAACAGAGAAGGATTAAATAGTTCTAGCTAGCAAGGACCTTGGGAATCAACCTGGGAACAACCAGGGATGATCCCAAATAATTCCAAGCAACAGAACCAACCTGGCTGGACAAAATAGCAGGTGGTAGGTTGGTAAACAACCTCTGGTTCTGTTTTTCCAACCTGGGAAAACAACAACCAGGTTCAGGTTCTAAAAACAGAACCTGTTTTGTCTTTGCCCAACCAGCCAAATGCTGGTTCCGCTGGTTTCCCCTGGCCTTGTAGCATGCAGATACAGACAAACAACATCCAACCTTCACCTAAATTGTACCCCTATAGTGCCTTCCCTGCTACACTATAGTTAACCAAACAAAACAGTACAATTCCGAGTTGGATAGAACTGAATCTGCGCAATCAACTCAACCGAACTGCAAAGCTTCCATCTTGGGTTCCTTTGCGAGCTCGTCCTTTCTGCTTGCACTGTTCATAGCGCATACAATGTTGTGCCGAAGCGCACATTGCGCGAGTACCTGCAAATGCATCAAGCGAAAAAATGCGAAAGCAAACAAACACACGAACACACCATTCACACGCAAATGCATTCGCACACGCATACTCGTACAAACAGACGGCAGGATGTCGTGCAATGTGCATTTGCACCCAACACACTCCCCCTCAGCCTGCCGGCTGCATCCCCGTCATTCCATGCTAGTTCATGCTCATTCCACTCATGCGCACACAACGCCAATGAGGCTCATCCGCAAGCCTCTTGGTGAGAAAGTCTGCTGGCTGCTGGTGAGTCTTGATGTAGATCGGATGCACCGTCCCCCTCTTCACCTCCTTACGCAGCCAGTGCCACTTGATACGCATGTGCTTGTTCAGCCCATGAAGCACAGCGTTTCTGGCCATCCCAAGAGCCCCCTTGCTATCACAAAACAGCGGCGTAGCAACTTTCTGCTCCTGGCCAATCTCCTCTAACAGCCTCCTCAGCCAAATCACCTCCTTCACCCCATGGAACATCGCCATGTACTCTGATTCTACGGAAGAGAGTGCCGTCTCCGTCTGCTTCTTGGACCTCCAACTAACAGGTCCTCCCCCAACTACGCAGATGTATCCTCCCACAGATGAGGAATCCTCCTTCTCAGAAGCCCACGTAGCATCGGTAAAGCAAGTGAGAAATAGCTTGCCTTCTCCAAGCCTCTCCCCCTTCTCTTTCAGCACCTCCACCCCTTTCTGCTTCACCTGTGCAGATGCGGAGTATTGAACTCCAATGCTTGGGTGAGAGTTCAGGTACTTCACCACACGCTCAGCTGCATCCACCTGCTCCTCTGATGGATTCTGCACCACCCTAGCCAGCTGCCCAACCGAGAAAGAGATGTCGGGCCTCGTGTGAACTGCTGCGTACAAGAGGCTGCCCACCAAGGACTGAAATTGCTGCTGCTCTTCAGCTTCAACCCCTTCATCCTCTGCAGCCTTCACAAGCTTGAATTCTGCTGGCAGGGGAGTTGCAACCTTGCGCTCATTCTCAATCCCATACTTCTCCCCCAGCTCCTTGATGAACTTCTCCTGGTGCAGCTTCAACCACCTGTGATCTGGATCCCTCTCCACGTGCATCCCGAGGTAGTACTTTACCTCCCCAAGGTTCTTGCACTTGAAGTTTTCCATCAGTTGCTGCTGCACTTTCTGGATCTCCTTCATGCTGCTGCTGAAGAGAAGAATGTCGTCCACATAGACCAGAAACAGCACCAGCTTCTCCCCCTCGCCCTTGAGAAAGAGGCTCTCATCACAGCTGCTGGTCCTGAATCCCATCTCCTCTAAAACAGCTGCCAACTTCTGGTACCAGCAGCGTGGCGCCTGCTTCAAGCCGTAGATGGACTTGTTGAGCTTGCACACCCTGCCCGTACCATCCTCATACCCAGGCGGCTGCGTCATGTACACATCCTCCTCTAAAATCCCATTCAGGAATGCCGTTGAAATATCCATCTGAATGATGAATTTCCCACTAACAGCTGCATCTGCCAACAAGACACGGAGGGTAGGGGGTTTGGCAGTGGGAGCAAAGATCTCGTTGAAGTCCTGCTTCTCCTTCTGCATAAACCCCTTCGCCACCAGCCTACTCTTGTAGATGGTGACCTGCCCCTTGTCATCGGTCTTGATCCTCAGCACCCACTTGCATTGTATCGCTTTCTTCCCATCAGGCAGCACCACCAGATCCCATGTCCTATTCTCCAGCAGACTCTGGTACTCAGCATCCCTAGAAGCCAGCCACTTGTCCCTATCTGGTCCAGCTAATGCCTCCTCCATGCTAGCTGGTTCCTCTGGTGCAGGGGCAAGAAAACAGTACGCAGGCTCATCCTCCTCATCCGGGTCATAGCCATGAGGTAGAATCAGCAATGCCTCTTCG